TTTGTTTAGTCGCTAGCTGCCTTGGCCCCAATACTCCATGAAGAGATAGAGGGAACCTCGGAGGCTACAACACTCCAAAACGAACTTGCCACAGCGAAGGCCGAGATGGCGAGTAGGACAGAAGCACTTGAACGTCAAAAGGAGGAGATCGACCAGTTCACCGTCCAGCTGCAGTTGAAAGGAGATGAGGTCGTCAGACTTTCCAATCAGATGCATGCCAAGGAGCTTAAGTTGGTGTCACTTCAGCTTTCCACGGAGGAGCGCGTAGCCTTAGCTCGCTCTGCTGGTGCGAACTCCTTTCTCTCCTCAGCCCGCGGTACTCGCTTCTTTGAGCGCTATCGGGCCGAGCTGCTAGGATACTACGAGCATACGACCGCCTTTCTCAACAAGCTTAGCCCTGCCTGCCTTCAATACTTTAATGAGCGGGTGCAACGCACGTTTGAGCAAGTCAAGACGCGAGGATATGCTGGTACCGTGGACGCAGCTACTATGGCGCCCGACCCTCTCGATCCCGTCGGGTGGAACGGTGACAACAGCCAATCTGCTGACTTTCTGTGGTGGGAACCCATTCTCGATATTGCCAAGAAAAAGGCCAAACTGAACAATGACGCCGAGGATGATGACGAAGACGAGGATGACGAAGAGGAATCTCCATAGTCTTCGCAGGATGCTGCTTGTTTGCTTCTTTTCTCTCCTTGTTATGGGCTAATGCGTTTTGCTATCTTTTGTTTTAGGTCTTTGAACTGAATCCTTTTGTAAGCATAATCGCAGACCACATGAACTTTGTCTTTTAATCAAATTCTTGGTTTATTTTCTATACTTTGTCAAATTTGTTTGTAAATGGTACTTTACTCGTGAACTGTCAAGGATTCGTCTTAATAGGATCCCATACCGACCTTCCTATCCTTAATTCGGCGATGAGTATGAACTCTTACTAGGCTAGGAGCAATACAAGTATGCTTGACTAGTCTTCAAAATGTTCAGGATAACTTATCAATCTTCTTTCTTCTTGGCCAAGCTCAATAGCCATGAAAAAGCTTTCTGCTCGAAAGACTTGTCGCTAAGCACAACAAGCTTATAAATTGTCATAACATACATCACCAAGTCTTAGTGAAGTTACGAATGTTGGAACAAGCATTCGTCCTTTCAACATCATCGCCGAGCTCAACCAGCTTGTGATTCATTGAACAGGCTGTTGCCCCTACAACTTCATTGCCGAGCTTGACAGGCTCGCACAGGCTTTCGCCCTCACAACATCATTGCCGAGCTCGACAAGCTCGCGATTATCATAACAGGCTTTCGCCCTCATAACATCATCGCCGAGCTTGACAAGCTAGCAATTATCATAACAGGCTTTCGCCCTAACAACATCATCGCTGAGCTCGACAAGCTCGCGATTATCATAACAGGATTTCGCCCTCACAACATCATCGCCGAGCTCGACAAGCTCGCGATTATCATAACAGGCTTTCGCTCTAACAACATCATCGCCGAGCTCGACAAGCTCACGATTATCATAACAGGCTTTCGCCCTAACAACATCGTCGCCGAGCTTGACAAGCTCGCGATTATCATAACAGGCTTTCGCCCTAAATAAAACCATCCTCATATGTTCCCAACCAAACAAGTCAGATTACGAAAACTTCAATTTATTATTATTTTCATTATTCGTCCTAAGGAAAAAGAACAAGGAAATAATATGATAACTTAATCATAAACGGCCTTATCCGGCTATGCATAATATTTCTTCAGGTGCAATATATTCCATGGTCGAGGCAATGGACGTCCCCCCATATCACATAGTTCGTAGGCTCCCCCCATCAATACTCGCATCACCTTGTAAGGTGCTTCCCAGTTGGGTTCTAATTTTTCCACGTGCTTCAAAGCATCTGCTTGACGCCAAACCAGATTTCCCACCTGAAAACGCCGAGCTCGTACAGACTTATCATGGGCTGCTCTCATTCGCTGTTTGTACGCCATCGTCCTTATTCTAGCCTGTTCACGTAGCTCATGAACCAAGTCAAGTGCTTCCAGCCGCGAGTCTGTATTCTTTGCTTCATCATAAGTATTAATCCTTCCTGAACCAAGGCCAATCTCGACTGGAATAACCGCCTCCATGGCATAGACTAAGCTGAACGGTGTCTCTCCCATCGAAGCCCTAGTAGTCGTTCGATAAGACCAAAGAACCGAGTTGAGCTCGTCGACCCAAGCGCCCAAAGCCCCTTCCAGTCAATGTATGAAGAGTGCGAAAGTGGGTCTTTTCCTTCTATGTCGCAGGGTTAAAACCAAAAAAGATTTGTCCGGGAAGCCTGGAATCCTAAATATGAGGGATCCCAAAAAATAGAGAAGGGCGGGCAGGACCGCTGCTCTGGTTCTCGTTTAAGACCCGATCTCTGGAACACCTTTTCAATTCAACACCCAATAGGAGGAAAGATCACAGCTGGTCTAGGAGCCGAAAGAGAAAAACTAGGATCCCAAATTGCATGAGCAATAGGTCTTACATGTAAAGGGTCCGGCAGTGGACGAAGCGGAAGCGAGAAGACTTATAGAAGCCAGTACCAATACGGTTGTGCTCAAGAAAGAGCGATTGGTGCCTCCCAACTGATGGTTCTTTCTGCGCCTCTTTCGCGGGGTGAGCAAAAAGCATTGACTTTGATCATATTAGAGACCATGGAAAAGAAAATGCGATATAGGCGTCTCTATCGGCCTTGTCCGCCAGGTCCTCTTCAAACAGTGACATGACAGTAAGTCAGCATTCAGATAGTAGGTGGATGCAGCTAAAAGCAAAAGGCATCAGCCAATTATGAAATGCAGTGGTTCGAATCCACTTCTAAGCGGCCGAAGGTTTAGACACGTAGACGGTTATACGAGGCTTGATGTAATTGACCTAGCTATCTATCCTCTTCCTTCCCTTCCCGTGGGGCTTTCCTCCGGTGGCCTTACTTTGCTTTCAGCGAGAAGAGAACTCAGGGAGCGAGACCCTAAAAAAAGTTAAAGAAGCTATACGGGGCTTTTACCCTGTTTCATATCCCAGATCAGATACCGTTCCCTGATAGAGACGTATAGGGGCTTAAGACATTATGAGAACTATGGTAAAGACATACATTGACTAGACCTACGGATAGATCTATTCGCCACCTTTGCTTGCCCATTAGCTTGCGGATGGGCCACGGATGCAAACTACTGTTTAATCTTCATATTCTCGCACCACTCCATGATACGCGGACCTCTGAACTGGGTCCTGTTATCCGAAATAAGAACTCGAGGAATACCATATCGGCAGCAAGTATTAGTAAACAAGAACTTTACCACCTTCTCCTCTGTAATTTTTGCCAACGGTTCCGTCTCGATCCACTTAGTAAAATAATCTACAACAACTAGTAGAAACTTGCGTTGACCCGTCGCTTGAGGTAGAGATCCCACTATGTCCATTCTCCATTGAGTGAAGGGGAGAGGCTAGCTCACGGGCACCATAATTTCCGCAGGTCGATGAATAAGCGGACCATGCTGTTGACACTTCAAACATTTTCATACCAGCTCTTGTGCCATTGTCTTCATCGTAGGCCAAAAATACCCCTCACGCAACACCTTCCCCGCCAACGCTTCGACCTTCATATGATCGCCGCAGCATCCCTCATGAACTTCACGCAATACATACTATCCTTCATGTTCAGAAACACATCATAAGTGCAGCCCCACATAAGATCGTCTGTACAAAATTCCATTCCGCAGGTAGAATCTTAAAGCCCGCCGACCTACTGGGTCCTTCCTAATGTCCCTTCCGTCGATAGGTTCCTGCAACCATTTTATCAGAGGCGACCTCCAATCCTCATGCTCTTCGACTTCTAAAATATGATCTAAGGTACTTGTTGCCTTATCCATCAAGGTGACCGATCGTGATTTACAATCTACCACTGTTGCCGCTATCTTGGATAAGAGGTCGGCCCTGTTATTCTCCGTGCGCGGGATCTGCACTAATTCCCACTCTTTAAAGCCTTTTAATAAGGAATGAACTTCAGCGGCATACCTCTTCATATGATCCTCTTTCGCTTCATATTCTCCCTTAACCTGCTCGACTACCAGCTGAGAATCTGAGTGGATGATCACCTGACGAGCTCCCTCCTTAAGGACGAGCTGTATCCCTTGCAACAGAGCTTCATATTCCACCTCATTATTTGATACTCTGAAACCTAACTTCACAGCAAACTCCAAATGATCACCCTCAGGAGTGACGATTAGGATGCCGAGCCCGGCACCTCCGATCGCCGAGGATCCGTCCGTGTATACCATTTATTTTCCTTCCTCTTTGCTCATGGTACATTCTTGGATAAAATCTGCTAAGGCCTGAGCCTTTATTGCCGCCTTGGTTCAAACTCAACATTATACTCTCCTAGCTCAATCGCCCATTTCACTATCCTTCCTGAGGCTGAAGGATGACCTAAGGTATCTTTAAACGGATAGTTGGTCCTTACTACCACCTTATGTGCCAGAAAGTAGGGCCGCAGCTTGCGAGCTGTAGCAATGAGCGCCAACACAGCCTTTTCCACTTCTGAGTACCGACACTCAGCTTATTGTAATTTTCGACTAGTGTAATATATCGGCTTTTGTTGGCCGTGCTCCTCTTTTAATAGCACCGAGCTAATAGCTTCTTCTCCTACCGACAGGTACACCACTAAGGCGTCTCCGGGTTCTGGCTTTGTGAGTAGAGGTAGCTCGGCGAGGAACTCTTTCAATCTTTTAAAGGCATGTTGTGTCTGCTGTGTCCATTTAAAGCGAGATCCCTTCTTTAGAGCACGAAAGAAGGGAAAACTTTTTCCGCGGCCTGAGCTATGAACCTGCTCAAGCCAGCTAGGCGCCCTGCTAAGACCTGCACCTTCTTCAAGTTCACGGGTGCCTTCATCTCGATAACAGCTCGGACTTTCTCAGGGTTTACCTCTATCCCTTTTTTCTGTCACCAGATATCCCAAGAATTTTGCAGACCTCACACCAAACTTACACTTTGCTGGGTTGAGCTTCATGCCATACTGCCATAAAGTGGTGAAGGTTTTCCTTAGGTCCACCACATGATCACACGCTTTACTACTCTTCACAAGCACATCATCCACGTAAACCTCCATGTTCCCCCCGATCTGGCCTTTAAACAATTTATCTACCAATCGTTGGTATGTGGCCCCCGCATTAAGTCCGAAAGGCATTACGAGATAACAGTAAGTACCATTAGACGTTACAAAACTAACCCTCTTGCGATCCTCCTTTGCGAGAGGAATCTGGTGGTATCCTTGCGAAGCATCCATCATGCTCAACAGTTCACACCTTGCCGTGGAATCGACGAGCTGGTCTATCCGTGGTAATGGTTAATGGTCCTTAGGGAAAGCTTTGTTCAAATCGCGAAAGTCTATGCACATTCTCCACTTACCCTCACCTTTGCGTACCATCACAGAGTTTGACAACCACTCCGGAAATTGTATGGGCTCTATGTGCCCGCTTTCAGTAGCTTATTCATCTGGGCCTCTATAACCTCATCTAGCTCGGCACCTAAATGCCGCCTTTTTTTGCTTAACAGGCCTTACTGTTGGGTCAATATTCAACCTGTGCTCGGTCACTTCTAGACTGATTCCTACGAGCTCATCAGGTGCAAAGGCGAACACATCCACAAACTCTCTCAGCAATGCCACCGACGCCTTCTGGATGTTTTCTTCCAAATATCGACCTACCTTAGTTGTTTTCAGGGGGACCCCTTCGAACAGCTCCACCTCCATGAGCTCATCCTGGGAATCTAAGCTCAACTCCCGTCGTCTACCTTGATGCGAGGATTTAGGGTGATCCTCCGGCTTCCTCTTCTTATTCAACACCTCAGCAGTCTTTAATGTTATTTCGTAACAGCGGCGCGACTGCAACTGATCTCCCACTACCTCTCCGACTTCGTCTCCCACAGGGAACTTGATTTTCATACACCACGTTGAGACGACAGCTTGGAATGCGTTGAAGCTGGGGCGTCCCAGAATGATATTGTACGCCGAGCTGGCATCGACGACCAGAAATCTAACCATTTTCACCTTCCTTGTGGGAGCTCATCCTAGGGCTACTGTCAGATTCACCTCCCCCATGGGTCGGACCTCACTGCCATTAAAACCGTATAGGGCAGTGTGCACTGGTTCCATCTTTACCTCCAACTCCATCTACTGCAAACATTTCCAGAAAATGATATCCGCTAAATTCCCAGTATCTATCAGAACCCTCTACACATCGTAACTAGCCACCTCAGCGTAATAACCAAAGCATCATTATGGGGAACCACGACCCCCTGTACATCATTCGCGCTGAAGTTCAAGGTAACCGAACTTGTTTGTACCTTGACCTCAGCCACCTCGTCCACCATGCTCTTTCCTCGATATGTTATTTTCCTCTCCATGTGCGAGTCACCATCTGTAGGACCTCCTGCTATCATGTGGATGACCTCCTTTTTCATAGGTCTGTCTGACGGATCCTCCGCTTTTTTCCGTTTGTCGCCCAGCTCTCGCCCCTCAGGGCGCTCATCACGATGCTCCTTATCTTTTATCACGAATTCCTTCAAGTGCCCAGCTCTAATGAGTCTCTCGATCTCATCTTTCAACTCCCGACAAAAGTTCGTAGAATGGCCATAATCACGGTGATATCGACAATATCTATCTTTTCCAGCTGAAAACTTCCGCGGCGGAGGTAGGGGTTTAGGTGGTGCTAGTAGCTTAGTTTCCCCCCGTTGTTCTATGACTTCAAAAATTTTTTGTTGCGGAGCCTTCAGCGGCTTATAATGTTCATATCTGGGCCCCTTGAACCGGTCCTCAGTCCTAGGCTTCTTCTGAGGAGCTCGTTGCTCGTTTGGTCGAACCTTTTCATCCACTGATCTTGCTTTCACCTTATCGTTTTGTATAAAATCAGCTTCCGCCTCCTCCATATTGACATACTTACTACACCTCTCGAGGAGCTCATCGAACGACCTAGCCGGTCGCTTAGCCAGAGAGTCCCGACATCTTCCAGGCCTTAAGCCACGCGTGAGCCCTCTAGCCTTTATTTTTTCCACAGCATCAGGAACCTCTACACACTCTTTGGTATACCGCGCCACATACTGTCGTAGGGTCTCACCCTCTCTCTGCTGCATGTTGATTAACGATAGATATTTTTTTTCATGCTTTTTAGCACTAGCAAATTGATTTAGAAACAATGAACTGAATCTTTCAAAGCTGTCGATTGATCCGGGTGCCAACTGGTGGAACCAGTCTTGTGCTGAACCCTTCAGTATAGTCAAGAATGCCCGACAACTAACCGCATCACTGTACCGGTGGAACACTGCTATATTATCGAACGACCTTAAGTGCCTAGCCAGATCTGTTGACCCATCATAAGCTAGGCTTAGCTCTCTAAAATTATTTGGCAGGTCCCCTCATAGAACCTCCTTCGCGAAGGGGTGTCCGCGCGACCTTGCCATCCTCTTCCCCTACATCTAGGCCTGCATCTCAAGCATTTGCTCTGCGAGCCTTTCTAGGGTCAATCCTTCATGTTGTACCACCAGTGGCCGAGTGGTTGCCGACCTGCCCCCATCCTCGTCTCTTCTTTTCTGTTGGTGAGTTTGGTGGGTCTGCTGATGCGCGGGCTGTCTAAATGATTCATTAGCTCGCCGATCAAATTCCCTAACCCGTCCTATCGCTTCTGCTATGATCCTGTCCAGCTCCGCTCTGGTCATGTGCAACATCTGGTTCCCTCCCGCCGCAGGGTGGTTGTTCTCAGGTGGATTATTTACCCCTGCAACGATCATCTGTCTGTTCTCCATTGAGCCCGTCGGCCCACTTCCACCTCCAGCTCCCCCAATGGTCTGGTCAGCTACCCCAGTATTGAGAGTGCCCAGCTCGCCCACATCTCCTGTTTGGCTTGCCTTCCCCTCTGTGACCTCTAATTGTTCTTGGGTATTGCCGGCCGACATCGGGATGATACCAGGTGCTAGTAAAGTCTCTTTAAGCG